TTGTTCTCAATGTCCTTGACGTATCAGTCATGAAATTGACACAGCTGAAGGATAGAAAGTAGAGACACAGAAAAGAAGGCACAATCCATGTTCAAGAGCAGGGCCAAATTCTTGGACAGCTAGCGCTTGGACAACACTCTGTGCTCAGAAATGGACCCCACACTGGAGTCTAAATAACTTGTGATTTGGGCTTTGGATGCTTAATAATTTTATCTGTGAATTTGTAACTAAAAATGACAGCACTCTAAGAGTCTGAGGGAAGAGGTTCACAAGTTGGAGCCCATCTCAGACAACATAACAAGATCCCATCTTGGGATAAAAGGTATAAATTAACTGAGGATGTAACTTAGTGCCCTTGGTTCAATCTTCAGTATTGAAAGCCACACTAAGGGCCCATGGTCTTAGATCCCATTTTAATCCTCCTACAGCCTCTTTGCTTTCCTAGAATGAGTCTGAGTCTTGCTCACCACTCTCTATTCTCTAGTACAAATCCCAGTATAATCTTCCCCTCTCTACCTGCTGCCCACAAAAACTGATGAAGACATTTCTTTCTCATTCTCCATTCCTGATACAGGATTTACTTCGAGCAAAAGCAGGATGTCTTAGTTACTTTTTACTTGTTACTGGGACAAAATACCCGATACCCAAAATGAAGGAAGGAAGGAAGGGTTTATTTCTTACAATTCTGGAAAGTTTCAGTCTATATTCAGTTGGATCCAAGAAAGGATGGCATGGCAGGGCTGCAATTCATGGAAGCCATAAACAGCAAGGCAGAAACTGGCAAAAGACACAGACACATCTTCTTCCTGTAATTACATCATATCCTGGCTCCACCCCAAGGCAGGTGTAGGACTCACACCACCAATCCAAACTCTAGACAATTGACCAATCACAAATTCATAATTGCCTGGGGCTTGGATGCCACTGACATGAAGTGTGGCAGAAGCCTAGAGTACTTCCCATCGTGCACCCAATGGCGCACCCCATCGTCCCCATGTTGGTACTGGGTAAGGAAATGGCCCTTTCTCCCCTGGGTGCCAGTCCCGCAGAGAATTGACAAGTGATTAATTAACATATGAGCCTCTAGGCCAGTGCTTGTGCATAGTCAGACCTCTTCAAGTTCACGTGATGAAGCTCAAACTTCTAATGTCACTATATTTTGATGTAGAGTCTCTAGTGAAGTAAATATGGCTTACTGAAGGAAGAAGTTGGAGCAGCACATTAGAGACTCTGACACTGATTCTGGGTGGAGATTACTACCTTATTCTGCACCCAAAATATACTTGATTTTATTTTTAGCTGTCACAGTTAAAATTCACACAATGGACCACATTTTCTTTCCTATGATTTCAAATACTCAGTGTCAGTACTGACTCTACTCCCCATAAGTACAACAGTCTTCCTTAATTTTCCTCTCTCTTTTTCCTCCTCTCATCAAAAGTACTAAACTTAGTCTCATAAGTGATTCTGATAGTTAAAAACTTTTATTCTATGTTTTTGCACCTTGACTATCAAGTTCACTTGAAAGTTACTAGAGCTCTGTGTGTTCCAAATTTTGTACTCTTCAGCAAGGAGTATCCACAAGACAAATAAAATATCATCTGATTAATATGACTTGCTTCTCATGGAGTTATATTGATGCTTATTAAGTTAGAAAATCCCTACATAACTCACTGGAGAAGTTCTGCTGTATGTAGAAACAAGATAGTCCTCTTTTGTCACACAATTAAAATATACATTCCAGTATTTGTGATTTAGCTTTGACTGAATATCAGTTAATACAACTTTTCGCAAAACTTTTCCCTTGAAAATTTCCTCTACCTGAAGGGAATAGTTTACTTTTAAAATGGCTTTTTAAAAAGCTTCTTTTCTCTTCACTTTAAGCTTTGACCAGACTCTAACCATATTTTATGTAAATCAAAAACATCTTGCTGGGCATGGTGATGCACACAGAATGCTGTAATTTCAGTACTCTGTAAGTTGAGGCAAGAGAATCACTGTGAGTTCAAGGCCAGCCTGGGTTATACTGTGAGTTCAAGGCCAACCTGACCTGCATAATGAAACTGGCTAAAAAAAATTTTTTTAATTACAGAAAAAAAAGATGTCACAGATCTGCAGCTATTCATAAACTAGATGTAGGTCTAGAGCTCTGATTTTCATTTTTTAAAATTTTTTTTATTTAAAGAGAAAAAAGAAAGGACATAAAAAACAAAGCAATAAAAGGGTACAAGTAATACAGAATTTCAAGAAAAAAATATACAGTAAGAAATCACTAGTTAATAGGTTACATATTGTCTTATTAGAAACAGTTGTCCAAATTATAAAATTAAAGCATATGAAGTGGACATTCATACAGTGATATTGGAAACAGTTCCATTCAATGTTCCAACAAAAGCTCAGTAATATGGTTTTCCATCCTACACACTCAAACATACCTGCAGTTATATTCCTTAGTCCACCTTCCTTTCCTCTCTTTTTTACAATAACAATTACACTTTTTGGGTTTTATTACTCCCACAGTTCTTATTATTTTTTTTGCAAAGAATAACACCAAAGGTGACTAAGCAAAACAGAATCAGTTAGAACAGAAGGATGGGCATAGTACATGATGCAAAAATAGAATACCAGGTGATCAAAAGTGGTTACCATTGTGCTTCTTGCTGTTTTTAAATTGAGTTGCCTATATCATCAGGTATAATAGAATTGATCAAAACAGTACAGAACAAGACCAATAAAACCTACACTGGAGACCTTACAGGACTTCAAAAAAAGATAATAGTCAAACCATAATGGACATCATAGTATATCTTATTGCCTTCAAAGTGGTTGCCTATACCTTCAAACTTGATGCTATCAAACAAAACAGAATACAGTATAATCAGACAGAGCAAGATGGGAAGAGCAATACTGGGGTCCAAATCAGGTTAATAGGAAAACAAAAAAGTTACTATAATGTATCCCGCTATTTTTAAATTTAGTTTTCCCTTAATTAAAAAAATGAAAAAAATAGATTAATTTAAAAAAGGGGGAGATTGAGATGAAAGAGAACATTGTAACAGAACAACGCAGGTCAGAACTGAACAATGTAAGCATCACTGTGTTTCACCACCAGATAATCTAACATAATAGTAGTCACCATAGTGCCTCTTTCCTTGAATTATTTGAGTATAACTTCGTATGCTATAGCATCAAGCATATCAAGACAGTGTGAAGCCATTCAAGAGAATGAAAGAATTACAGGGTATTTAGAACCAGCTAATAGAAAACGAACAACTGTTCCTATATTAAAGTGTGAGTGTAGTCAACTTAACACCAGCTGAATTAAATCAGCATGGGGCCGAACATAGATGTTCCACCTGAGGAAAGTTGCCAGCATAAATACACACATGGAGAAGGTGAGTGAGGTGTTGCATGTTTCTCTAAATGTTGCTGTTTGAGCCATTGGTTCTCCTGGAGGAGCTTGTCATACTAGCTTCCCCACTGTGAGTTGTACTATTGTCATTAGAGGAGCTTGGGATCTTGGTGAGAGTGGCTGCAGTTCACTTTGAGGGAGCTCTGGTCCTTACATCATGCATCACTTCCTGGCTCCAGAGGGGAAGATGTGTGCTGTTTAATATCCAAGGGAAATTCGTCATGCTGGCTTTGTGGCATGTATTCGACTGTTCTTGTCATCAGAGGAGCTCAGGTCCTCCAAGTCACTAAGGATGGCTATGGTGCTTTTGAGGATAGCCCTGGTCTTTGTTTTAAGCATGACTTGTTGGCTCCAACATAGAACCCTCAACCTACCAGTACGGCTCCTTCACCCTGCTGGCATAGACTTTCTAGCTTCCACCACTGACTTTGGGCCTTCCCAGCATGGATCCGTAAAACAGACTGTGTGAGTCCTTCTTGTGGGCTCTAAACCTCCAGATGGACCCACAGGAGGAAATTATCATGGGCTTAGGTTTTCACTTGGATTCATTTGGGACATTGCTGTGGGACCCAGGCCCTTAGCTGAATATTCTGAGTCTTTAGTGTTGTGGACAGATGTCCTGCACTTTCTGTGTTAAACTTTAAGTGACCATCATAAAATAATAGTATAAATTCTGTGTCCTGATTCTAACTCTTCTGCTCAGAACCCCTGACCACAACAATGAGCTTAAACAAAAAAACACTGAAAATTAAACTTCTCTGATCTAGTCAGATGCCAAAATAGCTTAAAGATAGGGTTGAAAAACTTGGGTTGCAGTAGCAATGCTGCTGATTAACCTAGAAAATGTCAGTTACCTTTTTTTGAGCCTCAGTTTCCTTGTTCAATAAGGTGGAAAGAATGACTTTTTCATTTAAGTGAAGCATTGTGTATATCATAGTGTTTAAAAAATATTTTTTTCATATGAAAACATGAGGAATTATCATTTTCAAATTGATGATTTTCCAAAAACCAAAGTCACAGTAGTTTTAACTAAATTAAGGAATCATAGAAGTTGCTATGCTATAAGAAAATATTCCATTAGGAATATTACTCTTAATATAAAAATTGCCATCAGCAATCAGGCATTTTATAACAGGAAAGCACAAAGTAGAACTATTCTAAATCCTGAATATAATATCGATTAATGTAAAAAAAAGGCTTCTATTTAATGAATGTTTACTATTGATAATGCCATGTGCTACTGCCTTTAGTGTTATGAACCCTAGTCTTGGAATCAGCCACAGAACTTACCATATAATGGGCAATTAACATATACTTGAATTAATTTTCTCATCAAATATTTAAATGAAGGAGTTATCACAGGTTGATATGTGGGGCCTGAAGTTAAGACATTTCCTTCAGAGGTAGGTATTAAAATTCCATAAATTATTCTGAAGATTTCAGATTTGTTTCATTAAGCATTTATTTTAAAATACCACCTGATTATTAGAAATCAAAGCTGGTAACAATTAATTCCAACTTGCCTGCTTTTTCTTATTGACTCACAGATAGTGATAATTATTCCTTTAACATAAAATGTTTTGTACAGATTGTCTGTAGCCGAATTGAGGAATACAACAGCCGGCAGGTTTTATGTGATGGAAATCCTGAGGGACCTTTACTGCGTAATCCTGGAAACCATGATAAAGCCAGGACATCAAGGATCCCCTCCTCATCTGATGTGGAATTGTGCCTGAGTTTGACTCAATATGATTCTGGATCCATGGATAAATCTGCCAATTTCAGCTTTAGAAATACTTTGGAAGGTAATATATTTATTCCTATAGTTTTATTTTTCCTCCTGACTTTGTGTTTAAATTTTTTCTAGCCAAAAACCCTAAGGTATTTAGATAGGAAACCCCAAGAGATATTTGACAATTCACAATTTTTTGAGCTGACTCAAAACTCTGGTAACACACTGAATCCAGCACATTAATACTGCATCAGCAAAGTTATAAATGAATGTACTCCCCATAGGAATGAATAACGAGAATGGGAAGCCTGATGGTAATAAAATCAGCAGAAGAATGTTGGTACCAAAGAAGCCTGTTTTCAAAGCTTTTTATGTTTTGGAATTATAGATATAGAGATATGGATATAAGGAGATTTCTCAATTTTTAGTGACTTTTTCTATCTGGTTTAAAGCATTTTAAGCAATGGATTCCTAGAGGCAATTCTACTCTCTTAATTATAGCACAGTAAAGACAGAATTTCAGTGCTCAAACCCCATTATCATCAAGATTTCTGTGCCTCACAAGAGTTTCTGTGCTTCTCATAGCATTTTCCAATGTCTGTGTAATTTTCTTACATATCTCAGTCTTACTTAAATCTTCCCTTTGCTATCTGTTTGTCCTTCTTCATTTATCACTAACTTATCACACATTTGTCCTATTCTCCTTGACTTGCACTACGAAAATATATCCATCCTCACACAACAGCAACAACAAGAACAACAACAACAAGAACAACAAAACACTCCCAAGTTACAGACTTAAAAAGAGCTCATTTATGGCAGGATGCATGAGTCAAATCTAACATTAACCACCCTTCCTTCACAAAGATCTTTGGTTCCCAATACTATATAGACAAACATTCCCTTCTTCCTTACTTTTTCTCTTTATTTTTTTTTTCTTTTGTTGTTATTTTGTACTTAACTTCTGCTGATTTACTGTCTCATTCCGTTTCCTGTTCATTCGAAACTATAAGCCTAGGATCTTATTCCTAAAACTAATTTAAACAAAGCGAGTTCCATCCTAAAAAGAAATCTCATGTCAGCTGTGAAAATAGAAATTATACTTTTTTTTGTCCTATAATACCAATGATTATTGTTTGTGATGCTTACATACAAAGTACTGAGCCAGACTTTTAATGGTATTATTACACTTTGTTTTTACAACCATCCTCAGAGGAAGATTGCATTATTTTCTGTTGATAGAAAGGAAACAGATTTAGAAATATTGATTAATTTGACTATTGTAAATTACTGTATGATTTTCAAAAATAACCTGCACATAGAAATGCATTGGAAGGTGATACCTTTATTTTCACAAGTGTCAAAAGTCCAAGTTCTCTCTGTAGTACTTTAAAGTCACACAAAGTGGTTTAGAGTTTCTTAGACGTGGACAATATCAAATTGGTTTTCAGTATAAGGAAGCAACTCATACAGTGAAGGAAGTTACAAAATCTGCAGTCACTTTCTGGGAGGGTTAAGTGTCCTATTAGATTTTATAGAGATTGACAATAATCCAAAAACTTTGAACAGTGTCCTTGCATAGTAGACTTTTAAACTTTCTTTAATCAGAAATAGTCTCAAGATCTTTGTTGTATATTTTCACAAAATTTACATTTTTGGATAATCCAGCCTTAGCAATCTATATTAAAATATAATCATTCTTTATTTAAAATTTGTCTGATGCTTCCTGATGACTGAATTCAAGAAGTGAATTATTAGCCAGAATTCAACATAGATTACTTTATGTCTTTCTCAGAGGGCATCACATCTGGAAGCAAAAGATTACCATCTGTCTCACATTGCAGTGTTTAATCTCTTTCTCCAGCTCCAGATACGCTTTTATTTCCCCTAATTACATTTTCACTTTCCCAACTAACAACTGTCTACACTGGAGAGATTTCTTTAAAACGAGGCAAATACTCCGTCTCTCATTACAAGTCTCTCCTGCAGTTAACATCCATTGATGGTACAAATTATGACTTCCCAACTTCAACCCACCTTTTATATTTACTACTTAGCATTCAGGATTCAAGCATTCTGATGGGATTTCTCAAAATCTAAGAAAGATCTAAGAAAATGAAATCTCCTTATATCCATATCCCTATATCTATAATTCCAAAACATAAAAAGCTTTGAAAGCAGGCTTCTTTGGTACCAACATTCTTCTGCTGATTTTATTACCATCAGGCTTCCCATTCTCCTTATTCATTCCTATGGGGAGTACATTCATTTATAACTTTGCTGATGCAGTATTAATGTGCTGGATTCAGTGTGCTACCAGACTTTTGAGTCAGCTCAAAAGCTCTGGGCTTTACTTAGAGAAGATGAAAATTTGGAATTTTGGATAAAGTTTTAAGATATAAAGAGTATTTTCAAAGAAAGGTCAGCTGGAGAGCCAAAAAGAAATCCTAAAGAATGAACAAAGTTTCAGACTCACTGTATGAGTTACAGAACTTTAATAAATACAGAAATGGTCACACAGATTCAAACAGTAAATTCATTTGAGAGCATTATAGGACAAATTACCAGAGGGATTTTTTTAAGTGAGATAACACATTTAAATAAGTGGAATATTCAATTCTTTTTCCCTAATCCTGAGGAATCAGAAAGCTTGGGGTATCCTGAAAGTTTAGGGTATACTGACTCAGAGGAGAGGAGGCTAATTTTGAGACATTTTTCATCCATACCATGAACATTACTGTGCTATTGGATTACTTGGTTTCTCAGTATGATATATTATTTTGCAAACCACATTGATATTCTGATTAAGCAGTGATTTTATTTGTACAATAACAATAAAAATCTCCATGTGTCTAATATTTTCATTTCTCATGCGCTATCTTACTTCATCCTCAAAACAGCTCAACAATATTTTAGTGTTTATTGATTAAGGTCAAGCACTATTCTCGGCAAAGTAATTACTACTTGAGTTTGAGAGACAGTGTGTGTCATTCAGTTATGAGCTGCCTCTACTCATTGTACCTAAGCTGTCAACTTTTTTCTTTTTCTCAAGTTCTCAGAGTAACCAAGACCCTTGCTGTGATATGTAGGAAATTCAAACAACTATATACAGTGTATTAATTTCCAAGTAGATTTGCATTGAATGTAGTTCTTTCATCAAAAGACTGTATTACCTTTTCTAAAATTCTGAGACAAAATAGAGTCTGCTCCATTGTAGATGAAGGTTTTGTATATGTTTCTATATGTTTTACATTATTTAAGGCAGCACCTACTCTCAGAGAACAGGTAATACTTATGTAACAGGCTTACACACCAAAACAACCTTTCAGGTATAATTATATATACAAATGCCTGCCAATTTCCTAATCAGTTCCTTTACTTCCAAAACAAAGTTACAAGATCATAATATACTCATCTCACCCAGCCATGGAAATTATAGTAAGGATTCAGTAATGACTTACTGGAAACTATGACTATTTGAATAGTAGAGGACATTTATTTATTATAGACAGATTTCTTTAGAACCAGTGGCAGATAAATCCAGGTGGTAGAAACTCAGTATGATATTTCTTTCAGGAAGAAGTTGAGATCATGAAAAGTCAAAGGATATAGTTTAACATTCAGTAAACTTTTGCTAAGTGCAATAATAGTATAGTCTTGGCTCTTTCTATACTTGCTTTCTGTATTTGTATATTTTTAAATGACTCATTCTTCCCTCTCATACTACCCTTCGCTAGTTGTATTAGCATGCAATTTGTTGTTTTTACCAAATGTGAATATTCATAAAGAAAATTTATTTAAAGGGTGTATCATCTTAGCTAGGTATTTAAAAGCACTAGCAGTGTGTACTGGTAAGCACTGCCTTAGCAAGTATCCTTGGAAATGGGGAAATGGGAGAGAAAAGTTTCTACACTGGAGAATGGCCCTTGAAGGTCAGCTGAAATACTGATTTTAAAGATGTAGAGAACATTCTGGATTTGATCATCATTTCTAAGACTCTGAAAATATTTTTTCTCATTTGTAAAAATTATTAAATTTTTTAATGCTTAAAAACTATTGTGTAGATGTATATACACAAGCTACAAATAGATACAGAAGAAACGTTTTTAACCCCCACCCTTTCCATTTTCTTTGTAATCTTTATTAGTATCTCAACTTTTTCTGAAGACTTTTCATTTTATTTTTCATTATCTAAATTCACTGTGGTAGAAAACATAAGGACAGTCTTATTTTCCAGTAGCTGCATTTATTATTCTAGAAAGTATTTATGAAAGAAAACAATAATGTACCTCCTGCAATTGAGTCAGTAGTTAGATGGCAGCACTCTAGATTGCTGGGTCAGATCTGAAGGGAAATGCCACTATTCATTAGCAATATGTACTGGAAATCAAAAATTAATTATTTTTGTGCATTCATTCATTTAACAAACACAAACTAAGAATTTTCAGGGCACCAAAAACATATTAGCAATATCAGATGCATTTATAGGAATGTTTTACAATTCTTCATGCTTGATCTCAAAAATTTAAGTCAAAAATTTCCTTTACAGCTCTTGCAATATATGGAAAACTCAATGTTTTGTTTGTGTGAGTTACATTATGGATACGTACCAGTTTTAAAACTAAAAGTGAGAAATTTGGAAGCTATTCATAAATTAATTTAAAACAACAAAAATAAATTAATTATATGTTCATATGAATAACAAATTTTACATGAACATTTCTAAAAAATAGGAAGTGAAATGAAGCTTTCTGTTTTTGCAAACTGAAAATAATCCACATTCTTACATTTGCTTCTACACTTAATGTGTTATGGTGCATAGTCTCACATAATTGTATAATTAAAATATGGAGAACTATTTATAAAATATGTTCATATATTGTGAATCTTCTTTTTTCTATACTAAAATTTAAAAAGTGATAATTTCTTCAATCTTCAATTGTATTGTCAAATAATAAATTATATCAATTTTAACAAATATTATAATAAAATTCATATCATCAGTTAATATTATACCCATGAAGAATTTTTTAGTAACATGCATGCTTCATTTGCAAAATACTGAGTTATTCA